TTGGCTTCTTTCAAAAGTTATAGGGATTTGTCTATCATTCCCAGGCAAAATCGCGAGTCAATTATAAAGTCATAACTCTAACAAATGAACTTCTGCGGACCTGAAATTTACAGCATAAATAGCTCACAATGCCAGTTAAACAGCACCAAAATTTCTAATTGCTGTGACGTGTACCTCCAACGAAATATAATTGGAAATAAGGTGGAAGACGTTGTGTGGATTAATCATTTTCGATACAGTGTCTGAAGAAAACAGACGCACATGAGTTACAAAGGAAAAACTAATCGTCTGGATAACGTCTGGAAACTTCGTACCTACAGTGGTTTTTCCTAAATTATATGTTGTATCTTCGTGAGTACAACGTGAGAACCATTGAACATAAGATCTAAGAAAAATAAGGTTAACAAGTCATCTAAAAGACACAAAACGAGGAAATGTTAACTCAGAAAAGCCTATTTTTTAACGGATAAAAAGGTAAACTCGTGATTTGGGAAGTACACGTCACAGCAATTTGAAATTTTGGTGCTGTTTAGCTGGCATTGTGAGCTATTTATGCTGTAAATTTCAGGTCCGCAGAAGTTCATTTGTTAGAGTTATGACTTTTTAATTGATCGCGATTTTGCCTGGGAATGATAGAAAAATCCCTATAACTTTTGAAAGAAGCCAAAGGGGCCGCTAATATTTTAGGCTTTTTACTACCCTACTACCCTCTATCGAATGATGTGCGAACGAACCGAGTCGGAGCGTATTCCGACTCTAATGCTAATAAAAAATGTAAGTAAAAAAGTTCCCGCGTAAGCGCAGGTAACAGCGTGATTGGTCGATAGTTTGAAGGGGACGTTGATTCTCCGTTCTTGTACAATGCATTTACGTAATCAGTTTTAAAAGAACTAGGAAAATCTCCGGTATCTAATGAGAATTGAACCATTTTAACTACTGTAGGCGCAATAATAATTGCAGACTCCTTTAACAAACGTGATGTGACTGCTGGCAAGCATGCCTTCTGCGCATAAGGTTTCAACAAGATTTTTTCGACGCTTTCTAAAGTGACCTTAAGATTTGAATTAAAATATAAATAGCTTTTTATAGTAAACTCGACGTGCTCTTCAATCTGGACAGATCAAAACCAAATTTTGGTGAAAAACGTTTTCGCTATGCAACACTATAAACACAAAAAAAAATATGACACATATTTTATTAGCAATAAGAGTGTAATGTAAAACAGCCATATGAGTATGTAAAATCAAACATTTCAAATTTGTGCTAATCCTCCATCAGCAAAAAGTTCGATGCCTGTTATGTAACTACTGTCGTCTGAAGCGAGAAAGACTACAGGTTTGGCTATTTCATCAGGTGTGCCAAAGCGGTTCATTACTGTCGCAGCTGTAACACCGGTGATGAACGCTTTTTTGTCCTCTTCACTGATTTCGGCAGCTTTCCACATGGATGTGTCTATTGGTCCTGGAGACACAGCATTGACTCGAATATTACGCCCTTTTAAATCGACTGTCCAGCAGCGAGCAAAAGAGCGAACGGCCGCTTTTGTGGCGCAGTAGACACTCTCAGCTACACATCCTTTGACGGAACAGATAGATGCATTCAAGATGATCGACCCACCATCGACAAATATCGGTAAGGCTTTTTGAACGGTAAACAACACCCCTTTCACATTGATGTTGAATAAATCGTCAAAATGTTTTTCGGTGATCGAGTTCAGTGTTGCAACTTCGTCGATACCAGCGTTGGCGAAGAGAATATCTAACCGACCCTTCTCTTTCTGAATCAAACTATACAGCTTGTCGAGGTCGGCCATATTGGATACGTCCCCTTGTACTGCGGTCACGTTCTTGCTACCAATTTTTTTGACCGCTTCGTCGAGTACCTGTTGACGCCGTCCGGTGATGAAGACATGCGATGCACCTTCGGCGACAAACTGCTGAGCAGTGGCCAAACCAATGCCATCAGAGCCACCAGTAATGAGAGCGATCTTTCCGGCGAGTCTGCCCATTTCTCTTCGTATAGTGGTTGTAGTCGCTGTCAATTGTTGAAGGTCATTTTCGTTTCGTTGTGTAGAAAGACAGATACCTGTGATGCGTTTATATACATAAATAAGTATCCCCGTCATGCTGATTCGTTTTTTTGTTCTTCTAGACCATTTACTCGCGTCATGATAGTGTTGATTTTTTATGCGTTCTCTTTGTACAATTTCTTCTGAGTGTGCTAATACTTCTCCGGTAAATACGTCTTTGCTTGGGAAATAAAAGGTAGAGCTAAGCAAATTGTTCGGGAAATTAGTTGTTCATCAAGCATCAGACCTCCGTAGTTCCATATAAATAATGCCTTTTTGAAAAAGTCCATAGTGTGCAAATATATTCCATTATGAAGAGGGTTTTTGAATGAAGAGTTCAATAGAAAAAGTCGATTCTGTTTTTGGATGATTTTCTAGTTTAACTATCCATGTTCTTTGCTTACGGAACATTTTCTCCGAAAATTTTAGTCCTCGATCAAATCATACACCTCATTCAGTTTTTTACGATAGACTGTACTTCTCAGTCTTATCCTATGATAAAAATTTCATTGAGATCGGATAAGATAAGGCGAGTCATAACAAAAACAATTTTTGTTGGATTACAGAACGTTTAGTCCGAAAACAAGTGATTTTTCTGATAAAACTTCGATTTTCCCACTAGGAAAACGTCTTCAAAAAACTTTAACAAATAAGTTACTCTATCCTTAATGCATATTTTCTGTCAAAGAACTGACTTCAGCAACTTTGAAGTTTTCAAGATACAACACCAAAGTGATGGTAGGACAATTTTGTGTTATTTTTCAAACCATCAGAATTTTGCGATTTCTACTAAATCTATTGGCGTTTTTTAATTTCTAATGAGATTGCTTGAATCGTTTCTTGAATGAGACAGACAGAGTTCAACTTTAGCTACTGTGTAAAAGAAAATTTGTTTTATCAATGGGAGTCTTTGTGGAAAAAATTGTCAAGCTTTAAATTCAGATTGACTTGAATTAAGGCCAAAACGGTGATTTGTTTAACGAATTTTGTCTATTATGCAATATCAACGCGAGATATAGTTCCGAACTTAGTAGAGCAATTAACCCTTAGCCATTCATGAAATGACTGAAATAGAACGTCAATCATGACATATGAACAAACGGTATGTTAACGCGTGCAAACGGCCTATCTCTCAAATATCCATGTTTTTGTCTATATTTTACCATACCAAAGATTAGTTGAAGAAAGTTTCCAAAAAATAACTGGACGGTCTTTTAGTTCCTGAAAACATCCACGATTAACTTATATTCAGTATATAGCTGATTTAGTTGAAATCCAGGAACCATCTAGGAAACACAATATTTTCGCTGATGATTAGAATCTCTTTTTTTCTATTCCATATGGTTATCTTTTCGAAAAGCGTGTTTACTGTTGCAACGCTTGGCACAGATAGCATTAGATAATATCACAGTCTATTGCGATTATTGGACAGTGGAGTTAAGCGTGACTAAGACGTTAGCCATGCTGGTATACTTACAGGTAAAAATAATAACAATCACATTGAATTATAACGGGCGCGAAATAAAGTTTGTAAATAAGTTGACGAACCTTGGTTATGTTATGACGTCGAAGTTAGGCTTTGGAACATTTTTAGATTAGGAATGTTAGAAAATTTCGTCCTCATTTCAAATAGTTTCAGCTCAAATTTTTTCGTTATTAGCGTCTTCTATTTAATTACGACGACAGGCTTTTTTGCTTAAGTTTATCCTCATTTCGTTCGGATAATCAATGTTTTCTTTTATCTCATGTCGGGACATCAAGAATGAGTTTGCAGTTTATATGCCTTTTATGTAAGAAAAGTTTCTGGCTGTTATTATTTTAGTAACCTCGAACATGAGCAAATTTATTTTGAGCAAAAAGTTAGTTAAGCAAAAGG